GGGGGGCATTGAAAATTTTAAAAACTTCGAGGGGGGGGCATCGAAATTTACCGATAACCTCAACAGGGGCCCTGTAAAAATATGAGCTTTTTTCAAGACATCTTCATTCCCCTCCCTCGGTGTAATAAATGTGTAATAAATGTACTTTCCCTAAATGAAAGTAGTCTCATAGCACTAGCAGACACAGGATCGTTTTTCCGGACTTAGCCGTTTGTATAAGGTTATTTGAGAAAGCTTCAGTTTATTATACAGTAATCAAATTCCTTATAGCTCTCAATCTTGACCTGAAATTGAAACCACGTCGTCAAGTTTTCCCCGTGGTCTTTTCTAAATCTGTCTATTATGAATTTAAGAAGCGTAGTTGAGAATATTCACACAACAAAGTTGGGAACCGCGCCTTATAATTGAGAAGTGGCCTGAAATCCGTCAATAATCATTAACGATATTAATTAAGGCCCCATTTACACTATACCGGATTGCATCGGAGCGGAGCGATTTTTATACCGGATTCGGCTGCTGTTTACACTACGCCACAGTAAAAATCACTCCGCTTTGGAAGTGATATGAAAAGTAATCCAGTATGTGCCGAAGCAGTGTAAACAGGCCAATCCGGTAGGATTTGGTATAGCTGTTGTTTGCTTCGCCTTACAACAATTTACTATTTGTGGCGAAGATAAAGAAAACGATAATAACATTGACTTTTCGGTTTCGAAAGAGCAAAATTTAAAGAAATACTCGTCAGTGTTGGATTAGAGCGAAACGAAGCAACGTCTGGTAGTCAAGCTTTTTAAACAAAGTTATACTTTACAAAGAAAACGTGTGTTACTTTTTTTTCATAAATTTTAGCATATTGGCAAAAAGTTTGGATCAGGTAGGGTCAGTTAGGAAACAAAACGCCTTTAGACCCCTATTTATGTACATGATTTCAATTATTGTTGTCTCTGTGTTATGTGCAATGAATGGGCGTTTCGGTCAAAATACTTTGACTTTCATCAGCTATAAAATGTTGATGGTAGCAAAAGTGATAATGAACGCATGCATGCTGGCGTTGTTATTCAAGTGTTGCCGTATAGAAACACGATCATTTTTAAATTTCTAAAATAGTTGAAACAACAGCTACAAAAATGGCGTAGCGTAATTTAATTAGCTTTGGTATTGATAACATTTAGTAATTCCGGTTTTCATTAGATATTTACGTGCCAAAACTGGCTGATTATTTATTATGTATTGTATATTTTAGAATAATTAGAAATATACAGTATAACTTCAATCTGTAAATGTAATTTTTTAAATGAATTAATATATATGTATTTGTGTTAGAAGTATAGGTATAATAGTATGGTTTTGAGTGCAATTTGGGAGATTTAAACACCCACGAGTCCGAAAGACGAGTGTAATTAATTGAAGTCTTTGAAAAACTCACGAGTGTATGTTTTTCCAAAATTGTACGAGAAATCATACTATTACTTATTAATAATATGCTTGAAAAAATTATGCAGTCACATGCGTGGGCAGGTCACATGCGAAATAGTTAATTTTAATAAAAATAATTTTAATAGAAAATTTAGTAAAAAACTCCAGCCATTTTTGTCAATTGTAAGTGTTTGGGTTTTTTTCTGCATTATTTTCTGGGCTTCGGTGGCCAAGTGGTTAGCGCACTTGCCTTTCACCTCTAAGATTGCAGGTTCAAACCTCAGTGAGAACTCCTCAATGTGACTCGAACCCAGTCCTCATGTGAAAAGAGTAAAAGCTTTGCCGAAAGTCGTGGGTTTTCTCCGGGTACTCCGGTTTCCTCCCACAGGGAAAGTTGACAGGGTGGGTTTAACACATAGGTCTGGAGGCAGATCATCAATGAGGTATGGACTAATAGCGGCTTTAAAGCGATCACAGTCTACCTCGGTCTGCTTCACACCAGTTCCGGTTGTAATGTAACCGGTCACTGAAAAACCCTGATAGGGAGTGTGCTGTGCAATATCTGTATCTACTCTGCTAGAAATGGCTGTATCTTATATTCAATGAAATTTGCACTGTATTTCATTTCTTGCCACTTTGTTTTTGCACTATACTTAGCCAATCACAATTGAGAATTTTTTTAATCCAGTTCACAAAATGTACTTTTCCATGGAGCCTTGCACACTAAAATATCTACATACTAGTTAAAATTACAATGAGAAATACAACTATTACTCACAATACTAAAGAAAATGGAAGAAAATCAGGACTGTGTAAGAATTATGTTATTGAAATTTAGAACGGATGCAGCATTTACAGCTTCGTCAGGTTGGCTATTCCACAGGACCGTTCCTCTATAGCTAAAACGTTTCTTAAGCGACTTTAGTCAAATGTCTTGGAACAAAAAGTTTTGAATCAGAGTGGCGCAAATTGTAGTTGTGTATTACATTAGTAATTCGTGTGAATTTGCTTGAAAGACAGTCGGGCTCAATTTTGTTAATTGTTGTACACATTAAGACCCCAAATTGTTCGTTTGCAATCGACGACATCTTGGTTGATTTTCAAAAATCTATATTCTTCATTCTTTGTCGTATTGACGGTATTGTGCCAGAAATCGTAAACTATATCCATAATACAGTAAGATGTTTTCAAAACAAAACAAAAATATTAACTTTAAAATCAACCAAGATGGCGCCTAATGACACGTAGTGACGTCATGTGCAAGCAAAGGATAAGACCCATGTAGATAGTCGGGTACAATTTTGTTGATTGTTTTAATTTTATACATTAAGACCCCACATAGTCGAACACCATTTTGTTTTAGACATTAATTTTAAGTCCCGAAATAAGACCCCAGATAGTCGGGCACCATTTGTTTTATACATTAAGACCCAAAATTAGACAGATAAGCTGATAAGGATGGAATCTGTATCTGGTTTAGGTGTGCTAGTTGGGG